GCTTACACAGATGCTATCCACAGGTGCTATCCACAGATGAAACGCCAATGACTTTGCAATCAAGAAAGAAGGAAAACTTAGTCTGGGGAAGTAAATGCCATTTGAGAAACATCTTGGCTTCAATCTCGCATCTTTCGTGGCTCAGCTCTTAGAACCATCAACTCTACTGCTCCTGGGGTAGGAAAAGCCACTTGAGGTGGAGAAAGGAAGCTGAAGGCTGGACACTTAGAAGGCATTCAACAAATATGTGCTCAGTGAGTTGGGACCATCCATCTGTATATGACTCAATGTCCTCTCCAGACTCTCCAAGCTAAAATTCCCCCTAAAACTGAGTGCCAGAAAAAAGTTTGCCTCCTCTCAAGAACCCATGTTTCCGGGCCGGCCCCGTGGCTTGGTGGTTAAGTGTGCGCGCTCCGCTGCTGGCGGCCCGGGTTCGGATCCCGGGCGCGCACTGACGCGCCGCTTTTCCGGCCATGCTGAGGCCGCGTCCCACGTGCAGCGGCTGGAAGGATGTGCAGCTATGACACACAACTATCTGCTGGGGCTTTGGTGGAAAAAAAATAAATAAAATTTAAAAAAAAAAAAAAAAGAACCCATGTTTCCTCTTTCCACTAGGATGCTCTGAGCTCTACGGGTCCCTTGTACAACTCACTCTCGACCTGGGGTTCCAGAGTCACATCTGTCACTCTTTAAACATTACACTCCACAGCTGAATCCACTCAACAGACTGTCATTCCATTCAACATCTATGGAGCTCCTGCTATATGCTGGAACCGTGTGAGGTAATGAATACACAATTAAAAAAATAAGGCCCACAATGCCCTCGAGAAGCTCGCAGCCTGGCATTCTATCACAAGTCGCCTCAGAAGCAGGTAATTCCAAGCACTGATAGGACGTACCCCCCCACTTCTTCTGCAGTCACTAAGGCGGTGGGAGGCACCCCTCCCACCACTACTTCAAAGGGCTGATGTTGCTACCACTTCTGTTACCTGCTGCTGGTTTCCCTCCTCGTCTCCTCTCATTCATTCTCTCAAACACAACTAGGGACTCCCTCTTCTCTTCTGTCAAGTTCACTCTTTTGTTTCTTCAATGAGCTCGGCCTTCCAGAACACAGCAGGATTCTGGATTTCGGCTCTGCTGCTAGATGGTCTGGGTGATTTGAGTCCAGCTCTGCTTCTTACCAGCTGAGAAATCTTGGGCAAGTTACTTAACTTCTTAAAACTCCATCTGTGAATAGCATCTTCCTCAAGGAACTCTGCTGAGGATTACATGAGTTCATCTACGCAAAAGCCTTAGCACAGTGCCTGGAAATAAAACAGCCGACAGCTAGCTGCTAGCATGACACAGGGTGTTAGGTAATTCGTGTTTTTATATTAGTGTTTCTCCCCTGCCAGATTAACTTACTCCTGCCAGCATTCTCCTTTCATTCTTGTTTCAAAAGTTAACCATCATAGGGTATCAAGAACAATCTTTCTACCTCCAGTCCCTGGCCCCTGATGCTCACCAGCCATTAAAAGACAACTTACAGTGTTGACTTTGGGTTCTGAGCTGTCCGGGATGCCAGATTCCAGGTCACTGGGCACGAATGTGTATTGTGCAGTGTGTGTGTGTGTGCAGGTGAGTCAGGTGGTTTTAATGCTTTGAAGACACCTGGAGAAGAATGTTCAGGAACTCCCTTTTCATTGGGATGAATCACACAAGAGTAATTCATCTGTTGGGTTACTTCAAATAGTCATTATTTAAAATGAAACGTTTCTTCTTCCTTTGCCCTTCTGAAACAGAAAGAAAAGAGCACCAACTTTCCCCCCACATTCTTTCATTTCTCCACTCCCACACGTGTTTACAACTCTTTTCTGGTAAAAACCAAGCCATTAATAAAATGACAGATGCGCATCACAAAGAATGCTCTAAAGGCTCGATTAATGCCAACATAAAGGGTTCAGCCGAAGTCTCAGTGTAATGAAGTGCTAATGCTATTCACAGATGAGAGATTACTGACAGAACCTCACTTTGCGACCAAAAGAAGAACAAAAAATCAATCTGGGGTGGTAAATGCCACTGGAGAAACATCTCTGCTTCAACCTCACATCTCTCCCAGCTCACTGAGTAGAGCCATCAACTCCACTGCTCTCAGGGTAAGGGAATCACAGAAGGATGAGAAAGGAGGCTTAAGGCCAGCAAGAGAATTCTTTACACCCCGACCACCGCTCCCTCTGATGGGCCAGGTCAACACTTAACTCTCTCGCAGCCAACAAGAGCAACAGTGCAAGTGGACCCGACAGTAACTCCACATCACACCTTGATCTTCCCTGCACATCACAGCTGGAGTCAGCTCAGTGAGACGGTGAGACTTTCTCACAGTCAAAGCAGGTGGTGAGACTTTCTCACAGTCAAAGCAGGTGGTGACACGGCCACAACATGGCCTCCAAGGCACTGTCGTCTGGCCCACCTACCTCTCCAGCCACAGCACCACCTCTCTCCCCTCATCCACTCTGTTCCAGGCCCACGGGTCTCCTTTCCACCAAACTGCCAATTCTTTCTCTGTGTAGGGCCTTTGTTCTTTCTTTTTTTCCCCCCCAAAGCCCCAGTAGATAGTTGTATGTCATAGCTGCACATCCTTCTAGTTGCTGTATGTGGGACGCGGCCTCGGCATGGTCAGAGAAGCAGTGCATCAGTGCGCGCCTGGGATCCCAACCCGGGCCGTCAGCAGCGGAGCGCACACAATCAACCACTAAGCCATGGGGCCAGCCCGGGCCTTTGTTCTTGTTGTTTCCTATGCAGAAAGCAGGTGCCCAACAAACACGGAATGAACCAACCAACCAACCACCTGGCCCATGAGTGAACCACGGTGTTAACTCAGCGGGTTAAGCAGCCAGTCGCTGCCTTCAGGAGCCCCTCTGAGCCGGAGTTACTGATGAGCATGTCAGCCTTCCAGCTGGACGAACCTACATTTAGATCACTGCCCCAGGCCCAGTGCTGCGCGTGCTCAAGAGAGTCCAGGGAAACAAGCACTGGTCTCTAACCTGCGCAGGTCTGACGAACTCCTTGCAACTGAACACCTCGCCCTGGTTTCCCTGAAAGAACAGAAGCCTCAACTCACTTCCACTCTAATAAGAACCCTTTCACCCTCCTAGCTCATCAGCCCTTCAATCATCCAACAAAGAAGAGACATCCCTGTCCTAGGAGAACTTACAAATACTTTCATTCAAGGGTTATTTAGCATTTACTGTTTGCCAATAAATGGTAGCTGAGTATACAGAGTATACAGAGATGAAAAAGACACAGGCTCTGCCTTCCAGGGACTCGGAGTCCCCAGGGAGACAAACACTCAGCTCGTCACAATCCTGAGGGTAAGAAGCCCGTTCCCCTCTGCACCAGGGCTTTCTGGGAATGGACTGATGGCCCAGCACCCTGGCATTGCCACCAGCCAACTCTGGTCGCATGACCCTCCCGAATGAGGCTCCAAGGATGGGCATAGTGGTGGGGAGAGGCTCTACAGGGACAGACAGTCTCCCCAGTCCCCAGGCCCTTCCATCCCGGTTTTTAACCCTTCACTCACTAGCCTGTGTTGCTAAGACCCCAGCATGCCTCCCCTTGAGCTCTCTTGAGTTAGCATTCAAGTTGCTTCTAAAGTCACCTCCCTTCTTTAGAGTTGATTTAGAAACAGATGGAACAGACCACAAGGTTGTCACCTGAACCAGGAATGAGTTTAGGGGCTCCTCCTCAAAGGCCCTGCCTCTGAAACCCACCCCTAGATCAGGCATGTCTCCATGGCAATGATGGGTGTTTTCTGATTCCAAAAGTAAAACTTGGAACTCACTGCAGAAGATTTAGAAAGTACTGAAAGTATAGTTGTATACTTATATGTATTTATGTATATAAACGTACATGGCTTGTAATAAATAATAGCACTGCGTGACTACCACAACATATACACAAATCTATATATATTTTATATATTAGTTACCTGATCAAAAAATCAGCCTCCCAGCTTTACTATTGAGTATGGTGATAATTAATGGTTTCTGATAAAAACACTTTATCATATCAAAGAAGTATCTTTATTCTTCACTTATCAAGAATACTTGTATCAGATATCAATAATGAACATTATCAAACCGACTTTTTAGTACCTATCAAGATCAATATCTGGTTTTTCTCCTTTGATCTATTAATGAGCTGACTTGGTGAACTTCCTAACATTAAGCCATCCTTGAAATTTTTAAATAAATCCTACTTTTATGTGGATTGTTCCTTTAACATGTGACTGAATTTGATTGGTTAATATTTTTCTAGAATTTTTATGCATCTATGACAAATTAAACTAGTCTGTAGTTTTGTTTTTATGCTATCTTTGTCAGGTTTTTTTGTATCAGAGTAATGCACACTTGAACCAAGACACAGAGATATAGGTATAAGTATAGAAACAGATATAATGTTTTAAGGAAATATAAACAGCAAAGGGCCTACTGTGCATACCCTGAAGAGTTTCCTCAAAATCACCGTAAGACCATCCAGGCTTGCTACCTTCTAGGGAAGCAGCTCTTTAATTACTTTTACAACTTTCTTCCGCACGTTCCTTCAGGCAGTCGGCCCCATCTTCGATTAATTTTGATAATAAACGTTATCCTAGAAAATAGTCCATCTCATTCATATTTTCACATTTATCAGCACAAAGTTGTATGTGATAGTCTCTCCTGTTTTTAATGTTCTCCAAATCCAAGGATACATTTCTTTTCTTATTTTTAGCATTACATATTTTTGTGTTCTCTCTTATTTCCTTGCCGCAGATGTCCAAAGTTCTAATAAATGACATTTTTCAAAGAGCCAGCTCTTACTTGTCTTTACCAAGTGCAATGGTTTTACCACTTCGTGTTTTGTTTGTTTGGGAGGGCAAACAATTTCACTGTTTCATTGGCTATTTTGCTAACATCTGTTTTAACAGGCTGGGCTTGTTTCTGGAAAGCCCCCAGAGCAGCCGACATCAGGAATAGCCTTACCTCGATGAGCTTTCTTTCATAGGAGCTCGCTAGTTCCTCAGCGACTTCTCCCGGCTTCTGCTCAGCGACTGTAACTTCTCCATCAACGTTCCAAAGATTTGGTACAACTTTAAGAAAAGAAAGACACTCCATAAATATTTTAACAGTAATCAAAACTTACTCTCCTAGTAAAAAAAATATTTCTTCTTCTCCAAATGGCTTCTCCAGAGAGAAAGCTCTTTAAAAAAAAAAATCACAGGGCCAGCCCAGTGGCACAAGTGGTGAAGTGCACGCACTCCGTTGCGGTGGCCCGGGGTTCGCTGGTTCGGATCCCGGGCGCGCACCAACGCACCACTTGTCAAGCCATGCTGTGGCGGCGTCCCATATAAAGTAGAGGAAGATGGGCACGGATGTTAGCTCAGGGCCAGTGTTCCTCAGAAAAAAGAGGAGGATTGGCATCAGATGTTAGCTCAGCGCTGATGTTCCTCACAAAAAAAAAAAAAAAATCACAATTACTAATTACTTCAACATTGTAACATTTTCACACAAGTACAATAAAGTGAATGGTAAGCTGTATTTAAAAATGGAAGAACTGTCATAGAGACAGATGCACATGAGTCTGGGGAATGATCTTGTCACTACTTCCCGTTCCAGGGGAAAACAGACAACGCATTGGCAAGACATAGAGCCTACAACTTGCATCTTTTGTATCAGTCAAATTTCTTTTTCTCCTACAAAAAAGTTTTCCAGTGAGGTAGTGCCTGCTTACAGCCCAATGTTAAATGGTAGTGGGGCTCAGATTATAGGTAGAACTAGTAGGAACTGACATTTATAAACCATACTTAGAGTGAAAGCAAGTCAGCCTCTGGAAAAACTCTAAAACCAATGCATAATGACAATGCAAAAGCATCTTAACAAGAGATGGGTCCCCGGATCGGCGCAAGAATCAGCACAGGAGACACCAACGGGTACTGTTTCTACTTTTAGGTATATATCCATATATACTCGCTGTGTAGACAAGAGTAAATAAACAAAAACTGGGAATGAGCCAGATAATTCCAAAAAACGTAGGAGAAAAAGAGCAGCAGTGGTTAAGAAAAGGATCCGTGGTGTATATTAAGAATATGGATTAGCCCCAAGTCGGAAACAAGCATCAACTGTGCAGATCCCATTTCCTGTGTGTTCTGGGAGATGCCTCGATCAAGTGTGATGAGATGGTAAGGGCAGCCCTCCAGTGACCGGGATATGAGAGGCAGGGGATGAGGTGAAAGAGAATGACGCTGAGGGAGAAAGTCAAAGTGGGTAAAGAGTGGGCCAAAATGAGCATCGCTGAGCCTGAAGGGACCTGTGGCTCCGTCTTCAGCCCTTCACTGCACCTCCACCAGGCCACAACGGGTTAGAGCCCGCAGAGGCAGCGACGCCCCTCAGTGACAATACAGAACATGCTGGAATGAAACCCCAAGTTGTTTCCATCCCAGTGGTGACCACAGTTTCAGCCACTACTGTAGGGAGTAGAATCTGAAACCTGACATAGGGATTAGAAAAAATTTAAAGTACTTTCAGTTAAAGTTGACTGACTGAACACATTAATTTATATTCATATCTTCTCAGAATCCCATTAAAATACCAATTTAAAAAATTCTTTCTAAAGGCATCATCCTTAAGGAAAAAGAGAATGAGAGAGAAAACAAGACAACAAAATTTTAGAAGTTGAGAAGCAGGTAGATAAGTGGTAAGTAACCTGACAGACCTGAGAAAATTTCCTTCTTAGCTGCAAGTGCGCAACACCCAAACACAATCTGACGAAAACGGAACAACGTGCCAAAGGCTGAAAAATTGCTAGTTTAGAGACACTTTTGGAAATGGGAGTGAACACTGGGCTAAAAGTCAAAAGAAGGGATCAAAAGTCTATTTTAAGAAGCAATTAGCAGAAGATTAGGGGTTTATTCTCTGGAAAAGGTAAAACAGTAGGACTGGACTGAGTTGAAGGCAGGGACATCGTATTGAAAATGGAGAGAGAAAAAGAACACAGGCTGAACTTTTGAGGTTCTTCCATTCTTCTTCCCTCCCCTCCCTGCGCATTCCCAGAAGAGCAGGCAGCCAACAGGTATACTTCTAAGCAAGGGAACAGAAAGTATTTTCCTGGGAATCTAACCAGCTGAAGAGAAAAGACCTGAAGAGACCAATCTGGGGGGCTCTCCAGTGAAATGGCATAGCCAGATCACCCCATCAAGAAATGATCATAGTTTTTTTTTTTTTTTAAAGATTTTATTTATTTTACTTTTTCCCCCCAAAGCCCCAGTGGATAGTTGTATGTCGTAGCTGCACATCCTTCTAGTTGCTGTATGCGGGACTCGGCCTCAGGATGAACGGAGAAGTGGTGCCTCGATGCGCACCCGGGATCCGAACCCGGGCCACCAGCATCGCAGCACGCGCACTTAACCACCAAGCCACAGGGCCGGCCCATGATCATAGTTTTTAATCAGCTTTTTAGTACCCCACTCCTACATCTGAGTAGACAGCCAGAAATCACCTTACATTCAGGACAAGCTCCTAAGATGTAAGATAGCAATCAGACTAAACAGACAGAAAACAACTCACAGGAAAGAGATACGACTTAGGGAAAAGAATACTTCAAAAGCAAACCATCGGTAATATTCTCAGAGAGAGAGGAGAAGATGGTGTAGTTGAGAAACAATAGGAAGCTAGCTAAAAAGAGGAAACAAGAAGAACACAGAGAGCAAAAGAGCTCTTTTGGAAAGCAAAACTATGACAGCAGAAATGGAAAGGATAAAATGTAAGAAAATTTCCAGAAAATAGAACCAAAGGAAAACAAAACAGAAAACAAGAAACGAATGGAAAGTTACCATATGAAAAGAGCTCAAGAAAGGAGGGAAAAAAAAGATAACACAGAAAGGAGGAGATCAAAGATATAATTCAAGAAATGTCCCAGAAGCAACAGACACGAATATTGAGATAGAAGAGCTCAGTGAGCACCCAGGACAACGGATGAAATGAAAGTCACACTCATGTACCTCACAAGTTAAATTTTAGAACATGGGGAACAAAGAGAAGAAGGTACAAACTTCCAAAGTGGAAGCAGAACTTTTACAAAGGAGAGAATATTATAAATAGCATAGGATTTCTAAACAGTAACACTGTAAGCTAGAAAACAATGAAGTGATACAATTACCATCCTGAGGAGAATTATTTCCAACCTAGAGTTATACACCAAGCCAAACCACGTGAGAAGTAGGTCAAGACATTTTCAGACACGTAATCTCTCAAAAATTTTACCTCCCACCAAAAGAAGAGAAGAAATCTAGGAAGAGGAAAACAGAGATTCCAAGAAATAGGGGATCCAACACAAAACTGAGTGAGAAAGTTATTCATAATAACCAAAAAGTGAAAGAAACCCATATGACCATCACAGATGAACGAATAAACAAAATGTGGTGTATCCATAAGATGAAATATTATTCAGCCATAAAAAGGAATGAAGTACTGATATATGCTACAACATGGAGGAACCTTGAAAACATTACGCTAAGTGAAAAAAGCCAGATATAAAGGGCCACATATTGCATGATTCCATGAAATGTCCAGAATAGGTACTAGTTTCCAGCAGCTGGGACGGAGGAGGGATAGGGAGTGAATGCTAATGGGTATAAGGTTTCGTTTTGGAGTGATAACAATGTTCTGGAATTAGTGGTGATGGTTGCACAACTTTGTGAACATACCAAAACCACTGAATTGTGTACTATAAAAGGGTGAATTGCACCGCATGTGAATTATATCTCAATACAGCAAGAGGAAGAAGAGGAGGAGTGAATTGGAGGGTACAGGCCCACAGAGCAGTCGGGCTTCTCCCAGCTATAGTAGGTCAGAGGACTCCAAGAGAGAAGCCTCAGGATGAAACTGATGGCTAAAGTGTTCGAACATACTGAGGAGATTTACATAACCCAGGGAGCATTTGGAGTTGAATTAGTGATAAGTATACAGAACACCAACAAAATTTTTTAAAAAAAGATTAAAAAGTTGTGCAAAAATAATTAGCATGTACTTCAAGACTCAACCGTGGATAGCCTTTTCAGAGTCATAATAATGTAATCTCGAACCACTGACTGAAAAAAAAATGATAATATGGCTGTGCTAGGTTATATGACAGATGGAGGGGTGTGTGTGTGCTTCATAGGGGTGGAGGGATCAAAGACAGCTACTCTTCATCTTCCACAGTGAGAAATCAATAAATAACACCTACAACTGAGAAATCAACAAGTGGCAATAGACATGTTATTCATAGATATCAAGGTGACTCCCAAAAGCATCAGTTAAAAAGTCGGAAGCAGTTGCCTGTGGGGAGTAGGGAATGGGGGAGGGTGGAGGCTAGAAGTATCAGGTCTTTTATAATAAGGCAATCTGCAAAATTTTCATTTAAAAAAAACAAACAATTTGATTAAAAAAAACAGAATTTGAGAGGAGGCTGCACTTAGAAATGGGACTTAGAAGTTAAATAACAAGGCAGCAGCGCCCATCAGAGCCGGGCAGGCACCCCCATCATGACACAGGATGCAGCTGTTTAGCAAAGCCTGGTGCTGGTGCGCATCTCAGGTGTAACAGACGTGTAACAGCACGATCCGACTCTGTGCTCTCCAGATGACCTTCTGATCTTTGCCTGACCTAGGCTGCTTTCCTCCACAGGCAGATCCTGCTGATCAGGAAGACAAGGCCATCCAACCTGCCTGATGTCTGCACATCCCATTAGAAATCAAGGCGCTGGCCTTCTGTCCTCAGGCACCAGGCCCTCTGTAGGTATATTTAAGAAGAATCAGCAATCTGCGCTGGAGGAGGCAGATGCATAAATAAGCTTTTCAACCTTCAAGACTCGGGGGACAGACCTTGGACAGTCATGAATTTATAGAAAGTCTCTTAGAAACTAGCCAGTCAACCTTCCCCTGCAACTATCTGACCTCCTGCTGCCCTGGTTCAGCTCCTGCAGCTTTATGAGCACACCAGAAACTTCAATCTCATGTATTAAATAACATAATAAAAAACCAACCCCAACTATACCATACTTATCTCACTAGTAGGCAGACTCTAAGGTGGCCCCCAGTGATCCCTTCCTCCT